AATGTGTTTTTGTACATAGAGAGTAATAGGATTAAACTCCAAATTGATTGTTTTTAAAGATATGGAAATAAAATTGCTTCAAAAAGGCAACCTGGGAAAATGACTAAGAACACAGACTCTGGAGTCAGACTTCCTAGGTTAAATTCTGGCTCTGCCACTTTCAAATTATGTTATAGTAACCCTCTGTGCTCCCTATAATTTCACTACAGTAAGAACTAAAGGTTGATATGTTGTGCACTGTAGGGGTATTAAGTAAAACTCACATACACACACACACACACAAAAAAAAACCCTAAATATTTATCCCATTGGGAATAACAGACATTCATTTATAACCACCTGAATAAAGAAGGACCTGTTCTTTTCTGATCTGTTGTGGGATATCTGCACACTGTGTAAAGATGTGCCGCTGTGATTGGTTTAATAAAAAACTGAATGGTAAATAGCTAGGCAGGAAGGATAAGCAGGACTTCAGGGAAGAGAGAGGAACTCAGAGGAAGAATCAGAGAGGTGTGGAATTTGCCTGTGAGGGAGTCGGATGTACAGTATAGGAGAGAGGTAACCAGCCATATGACATAATGTAGATTAATATAAAATGGGTTCATCTAAGTTATAAGAGCTAGTTAGGAACAAGTCTAAGCTAAGGCCAAACTTTCATAATTAATAATAAATATCTGTGTCATTATTTGGGGGCTGGCAGTCTAAAGGAAGTCTGACAAGGAAGCCTGATGCACCCACTGTTCCCCAGGCCCCCTGCTGCTGAGAGTATCTTGGTGATGTGTGCATACGTGGCTGTGTGGAGGCCAAAGCTCTACATCAGGTGTCTCCTGTAACGGCTCACCACCTTATTTTTGAGACAAGTTCTTTCACTGGACACAAAGCTTGCTAATTTGGCTGTGGATCAATAAGCTAAAGGGATCCTCCTGTATCTGCTTCCCATGCCAGCGCTGAAGTAGCAGACACATGCCACCATATCCAATTTTGATCTGAATGCTGTGGACCTGGACTCGGAGTCCTTGGGCTTATACAGCAAACGTTTTACTAACTGATCATCTCTTTAGCCCAAAAACCTGTTCCTAGAGAGAAACTTCCCCAAGATTGGAAAACCTTTCTCAGATACACCTGACTTGGAAACTAACACATGGATGGAGTTTCAAAGTTCGCTGGAGACAGCTTAGGCAGCATTCCTTACCCTTCTCGGGTTTTCTCTTCCTCCTCGCTGGCGTCACTTTCCTACCTAACTTCGTTGTTCTCAGAATCTGTTTCTGGCCTATGCTCTTGAATTCATTTTCTTACATTCGTTAATCCCACACACTCTCCCTAAACAAACTATTATACAAACTAAATACGTTATATTAAGAAAAAAATATTGTATTTAATTACTTTTTTCTTATTTATGTATAGTTTGTTCAAAGTACCTTGGAAGTTTGAGAAAAGCTACTCTCCACCCCTGCCCCTCCAAATCATACCAAAGCAAGCTTTAAAAAAGGAAAAAAGACAAAGGAAAATGAGATACGAAAGCCTGGAGCCCAACAAGGAGAGACGAGCCTGCTGTACTGGAGGGAAAACCAGGCAGAAGAAAGTCAACACAACAGAAATGTTTTCCTTTAAGGATTTCTTCTCGCTGACCCACAGCAGGAACTCAGTAGTCACCCCAAAGCTCTCTGCTGTAGAGAAAATAATGTCACGGGCAGAAGTGTGGGATGGGAGGAAGCAAAAGGTTGCGATTAAATAATGGTAGAGTAAACAGTATGCCCACGTGTACTTCTTTAGCAATTAAGACATTTGGTTAAACACAGTAAAAGAAAGCAACCTGGTTGTGCTAGCGGCCTGATTGTAAGTGTCTGGCTCTTGCTAAGCAGAGACTGGAGTTTCAAAAGTTCCTTATTCCTGAATGTCCAATGCCATCATTTCAGTCATGAGATTAAGAACCCAACAAGAGCAAAGTCCACCTCCTCTTACTCATACCACATGACTTCACCAAACTTTTAGGAAAGCATTTCACACCAAAAAGTGGAAGAGAATGCCAAGCATGAGGTAATCCATCCATTACTTCTTGTATTTTCATTTTAGTAAGAGAAAAATGAGCAATCCAGGTATTTAAGGATTGGATTCCTGTTTCATGACACAGTTTAGAGCCAATGCAATAAAGTTAACTTCCATTTCCCTTCTGTTAAACAGAAAGAAAGAAAGAAAGAAAGAAAGAAAGAAAGAAAGAAAGAAAGAAAGAAAAGAAAGAAAGAGAGGAAGGAAGGGAGGGAGGGGATGTTGTAGGTTTATATGTACTCTTCCTAGATATAAAATGCTAAATGATAAATTATAATTAGGAAATGAAAGATACAGACAGAATGTGTGAAAGACCCTTAACTGAACTACCTGAACATTCCATCTTTTAAATGGAAGGAAAAATCAATAATTTCCAACAGCACTTTCCATCATTAAAAAAAATGAGACAAACATTTTAAATGTGTAGGAAAAAAGTAATTCTTGTATCTTCTTAAAAGCATCATTATCTTCTTTATTTAAAAAAAAACTAGTCTCCTTTAATAAAGTCTCTCTCTCTCTCTCTCTCTCTCTCTCTCTCTCTCTCTCTCTCTCTCTCTCTCTCTCTGTGTGTGTGTGTGTGTATGTATGTGTGTAACTTGTTCTCATCCCTACAAGGACATTATAAAGGCAATGATTTCAACCCATGACTTCACAGCTGCTGCTTCTACTATTTGGTATACTCTTTTGATCAAATGAAGGCATATCCTGAAGAACTTTTAAAATTTAAAAAGCTAATTGGCAATTAAAAACATGCTTCTGTAATAAGTTCAGTAACACAGTCATGTCAGCAGCCATCAGGTCCTTATAGAGTACAAGATCCATTCTAAAAGGTTTACTTTTCCTTTAACCTTAACCATAATTGTACCAGTAGAAGAACAAATCATTTAGAGCCTTCATGAAATTCTGTCCTCAGTTTCCCCCTTGACACTTAGAAGAACATTGAGCTGGTAAAGAAATAAACTAATTGTCTGGGAGAACAAGATGAGCATAGGAATTCTGTGAAAGGCTGTGCTCACTAGACGACAAGGCTAAAGTATTCCAAACCTCCTGGTATATTTGATAATAGCTGAATACATGTGTTACATCTCATCTCCTCAGTCTCCAAGGGCCCATTTTTCTCTGTTACGGAAACCCACTAACGATTTCTAATGTAGAAAATCACTAACTAGTTCACTGTCAATTTCTGTCAGAATGATTGGCAACAGCAGCTGAGATACGAAAAATCATTTTACTGTTGGTAAACACTTATTTCTAATTACACATCCACTACAGTCTATTCTTTAAAAATAAATGGCTTAGGCAGCTAGAGAGATGGCTCAGTGGTTAGAAGTGCTTATTCTTGCAGAGGACCTGAGTCCCAACACCTACATCAGATAGCTCACAACTGCCTCTAACTCCAGTTCCAAGGGACCCAACACCCTGTTCTGGATTTTGTGGGCAATGAACTTGATGGGGTTTGAATGAGATGTCCCCAGTAGTCTCAAGTATTTGAATGCTTGGTCCCCAGTTGGTGTCACTGTTTGAAGGAAGTATGTCACTGAAAGTGGGCTTTGGGAGTTTAAAGACTCATGTCATTTCCAGTGCGCGCGCGCGCTCTCTCTCTCTCTCTCTCTCTCTCTCTCTCTCTCTCTCTCTCTCTCTCTCTCTCTCTCTCTTTGCTTTGTGACTGTGTGATATGGGATTCCCCTCTGTATGCTGTAAAATTCACTGGTTAGTAAAGAAGCTGCTTTGGGCCTACTGCAGCACAGAATAGGGCAAGGTGGGAATTCCAAGCAGAAAGAGGAGGAGAGAGTAGGCAGAGTCAAAGAGAAGCCATGTAGCTGCTGCAGGAGACAGACACCATATGCTGGACAGAACCTTACTGGTAGGCCACAACCACATGGCCATACACAGATGAATAGAAATGGGTTAATTTAAGATATAAGAGCTAGCCAATACGAAGTGTGAGCTAACAGGCCAAACAGTATTGCAATTAGTACAGTTTCTGCGTGATTATTTCAGGTCTGGCTGGCCAGGAACAAACTAGCAGCCTCCGCCTACAGTTGTGGTTGTGTGAGCCCCAGCTTCCTGCTGCAGCCACCATGATTGCACCTTGCTGCTCTCATTCCACCATCATGAACTCTGGAACCATAAGCCCAAATAACTACTTCTTCACAAGCTGCCTTGGTTGTGGGGTTTTATCACAGCAACAGACAGTAATTAATATGGCCTCACATGCACATACCAACATATAAAAGTAATCAATTAAAAACAAAATTGATCTAAAAATGGCTTAGGATACAAATGACTGAGGAGTTCCAACCATGTCTGCTTTCCTGGTTAATGTACAGCACTCTAAGGGGCTGTCAGATGGAAACCCTATGGAGAATATATTGTCACTTTACAGGGAAAGCAGATGGGCTGTAAATGCCTGTGCTTTTTCATGCGGTCTAACATTTAAAAATGCTAGTATATACATTTGTGCTTGCACAACCTGACATTATTTGACACATTCTACACGAAGGAATGCAAACATTAATGAAGAAATAAAGGAAAAAGAAAACTTGGGAACATAGATCTAAACACTCTACAGCTGACAAATTAATCAGCCTCCATTTCAGAAGTCTGTTCCTTAATTACCAAATAGGCATTGGCTTAAAACCCATAGTAAAAAATGACGTTTTCACTTTCCCTTTGGTTAGAAACAAACAGTAGAGTACAGTGGTGACAGGAATAAAAAACAAGGTGTAGGTTGTGTTTTCTAAGGCACAAAATGTAGCCTGACATCAGTGCCATGCTCAGCGTCTTCAAACGCTGACCAGCTCCGTCAACTGCATCCATCACAGCACTCACTCACGCTGCTGACTCCAACCTGCCTCCTGCCTACCTCTGGACCTTCTACAGGACTCAGGTTGAGGTCTTATACACACCAGACACTCAAATATATTTGTTTCATTCTTTCAAAATGAACTTACCCTTCGAAATGACACAACGTAAAACGTGTCCCCGCGCCTGCGGATGGCTTCGAAGAAGCCTTGGTAACTTCCTGGTGAAGCATAATACACTTGCAGCTCATTCCCGGAATTCCTACTAAAGGGAGAAGACAGAAAATACCATTAATATTCAAACATATTAAGAATTCCTTCCATTCTAATTCCATTCTTAAGAATCTCTTTCAACCAAAACAGTAGCACTTTAACAACAATTTTTACTTTTTAATCTTTTTTTAATTGGTACATATTTATGGGGTACCATATAATGGTCAGCTACATTTCACTTACGCAAATGATATGGTCTTATTGCTATTGTTGCTTGGGGTACAGGAAGATCAGACATGGGGTCTCACACCTGCTGCACTAACCAGCTTGGTTCACAGCACAGGTCAGGAAGTGCTATGACTACAATTCCGCCCCACTGCAGTTAGCCCCTTAGTCCTGACTTTCTAAGTTACATTCACCCAGCTGACATCTGAACTGTTGGACACTGCACTCTCCTGGAATCTCTCAAACTCTTCTGTAGTACTGTGTAGTAACAAGAGATTATTTTTAGGTCAAACAGACAGAGTCTGAAGTCTAGTTCTACCACTTAGTTCGCTATTTTGAAAATTATTAAAAACAAGCAAAAAACAAACCCCCTACCCTTTTCATATATAAAATACACTTTTGAATCATTATATAAATTTAAAGATAAGATTATGTAAAGCACCCAGTCAGGGTGGACAAGATGGCTCATTGGGTAAAAGTACCTGTCACACGAGCCTCATGACTGAGTTCAATACCCAGAGGCCGTATTTAAAAAGCCCGCAGAGGCAGGTAGATCTCACAGCCAGAGCTACACAATGAAACCCTGTCTCAAAAAACAAAACAAAAAGCCGAACAAAGGACACAACTGTAATGCCAGTATTGCTATAGCAATGAGAGAGGTCAAAAAGAAGAATCATCTGGAAGACTGTGGGCCAGCTAGCCTGGAATTCACAGTGCAACAGAAACAGAGAGTGACCCTGCATTAGGCAGAAGAGAGAACAACTCCCCAGAGATTTTCACTGACTTTCCTTTTCCTCTGACTTAGTTACACATATATGCACACCCAAAATAATAGTTTTTTAATGTGACCACTAAGCAAGACACCTACAAAAGAGAAAAGGCAATACCTCTCTCCCTGAGGCTTATGAAACTGATAAGAATCATGAACAAAAAAGCAATATGCACTTAGGATTTTCAGTAAAATTATCAATGAAAAACATTCTGATTAAATTTGTATTTAAGAGATTGGGAAAGGTGATCTTTTGGGATTGCTAATTGGTAGTATATATTAATTTGAAAGGATATAAAAGTTGTAAAGGAGCACAAAAAGGAGGTGTGAATTTCAACTTCACTAAAATACAATACAGTTCAAGCTCTCTGGCCAAGAGCATTGGCATCTTCTTACCTGATGCTAGTGGTTTCTGTGTACTGGACAGCCATCAGTTGAGAATTTGAGCCCTGCTCCAGAGCACCCTGGAAGAGAGAAAAAGATTTAGGAAATAAAACAAAAACCTTCCAATACTGACTATACATGATTTGTTATTTAGAATCCTTCGGGTCATACTGTAGACTGAGAATATATCTCATGCAGTCTTATAAGACACTTCAGGCATTTCCCACAAAGTTTACAGAAAGAATGAGAAAGTTCAGTCCAACCAATCTGAGTTTTACAACCAAGTTGTACAAGTATAACTGGGCATGTAACAACTTTCATTTGTCAAAAATTATTATGTTACAAGTTTTTAAGAAATAGAAAAGGTGGGCTGGAGAGATGGCTCAGCGGTTAAGAGCATTGCCTGCTCTTCCAAAGGTCCTGAGTTCAATTCCCAGCAACCACATGGTGGCTCACAGCCATCTATAATAAGATCTGGTGCCCTCTTCTGGCCTGCAGGCATACAGACAGAATATTGTATACATAATAAATAAATATATATATTTTTAAAAAAAAGAAATAGAAAAGGCTCAGAAAGAAACAAGATTTCCACTGTTCACCAATTTAACACAAATTCCTCATGCCTATCACGCCTATCAGTTATATGTCATGAAAGGCATCTAACCCACGACTCTCTTGGCCAGAGAACAATTCAGTGTGGAACCATTATCAGTGGCCCACATGTTAACACTAGAAACTTCTATTTCACAAAACAGCATTTTCTCTGTCCTCTCTCCTCTTAAATTTTCTGGAAGTTTTGTAAGCTAATCTTCAGGAGAGTCTCATAAGGGTTTCATAATTCAAAGGTGCATTGCTATAATTCCATCACAAAGTCACCTATTGTGACTTTACAACAATAAGTATTTTTGATATACAAATAATAGTCAAGTCATAAATGTCCTGAAATGTATTAATTTACTATGTTCATACATCCATGCTTATATGAAGTATGGCTTCAGAATTAGATATCTGCTTTCCTTTAAGAGGCTCAGGGGTTTAGACTCCACCAGTAAGACAAACTTGCTCCAGATGTGGAAGAAGAGACCGACAGTACCCTGTCCCTCTGGCTGTGGAGGCAGCTGATATGCACAGTTTAGCAGATCAGTGTGCTCTGCAGTGTGAGGCTAGACCAATGCCAGGAAGCAGCTTTGGGACTGCCAGGTCCCCACAGCACTGGCTGGACCTGCCTATGCCCTCAAGGAGACCTAAGAACCAATAAAGCTGCAGCAGTAGGCAAAGAAGGATGAAGAGGCTCATTCAGGATAATCATAGACACAGACCCTCACAAGTCAGAACTTAAGCTCAACTATACAAATTTTAATTATCTATGGCTAAAAACAGTTGCACATGGTTAAAGTCTGTGCTTCTTGATATCCTTTTAATATGCTTGAGCATATTATATAACATTTCCAAATAAACATTAAGCTTTGCCTTCCCATGTGTGCTTTCCTCCCTCCCTCTACTCCTCCCTGTCTCCCAACCCCAGACAGTCTCACTTTAGCTCTGTAACCCAGGCTAGTCTAGAACTCATTATGTAGCCCAGGCTGGCCTCAAATTCATGATGATCTTCTTGTCTCAGCTTCCTGGGTTCTGTGACTACAGATGCAAGTCACTGCCACCATACCCCGCCGATCTCTCTCTCTCTCTCTCTCTCTCTCTCTCTCTCTCTCTCTCTCTCTCTCTCTCTCTCTCCGTCCCTCCCTCCTTCACCCCCTCTTTCCCTTTCCTTCAAGACAGGGTCCCACTATGCCGCCCTACATGGCTTGGAACTCATATAGCCTAGGCTGGCCTCAAACTCACAGAGGTCTGCCTGCCTCTGCTTCTCCTGCCGTCAAAGCGCCAGCATGTGAGCACCACCATGCTCAGCAAGATGTTTCTATCAGCACCTAAAGCAAATATGCAAACCAGGTGAAAATTTTTATATCCAAAAATAAAACCTCTTTCTTGTCTCTTATTCTCTACCCCACAGATGGAGATTTCTCTACAATCAGCTCCATTTTTCCATGTTATTTTCCCAGGTTCACTTCACCGGGCTTTTGTCATTACAACCATAGTGAAGCAGCCATCCTGGCCACCAGTGAGTTCTAATGGGAAGTGTTGACAGTAATCATCTGCATTGTTCCCCGGGCCATTGGCTGGGCTGGGGCAACACTGCCCTTTACCACTCTCCATCTTAGTGCCCAGCCCCTTTCAAGCACTGGTTCTGTTGTAGCCCACACATGGGCAGTGTCTAACACTGAGTTGATCACTGCTCTCTCTCTCTCTTCTTTAGTTTCACACTGGGAAGCACCACCCAAAAATCAAACATTTAGCCTCAACCTCTCTCCTAAGTCCAGACTTGGATATATGATTGTCTACTAGATGTCTTCAATCAAATGTCTAAAATTCATATCTAAAGTTCTTGACTCCTGTTTCTAACTCCTTCCTCAGTCTGTGTCTCAGTAAATGACATCACTATTAATCCAGCACTTAAGACAAAGAAATCATCACCAGTTCCTTTTTATTTTATAGCAACAATTCCTTAACAGTTTTACTTTCAAAATATATTTGGATCCCCATTCTTTCCTCTACCTTCATATTCACCATAACAGAATAGAGCCAAAGATCTCTCATTTGGGCCACTGACATGGCATTTTAGCTGACCTACCTCCTTCCACTCACTCCCCTCAGTCTACTTTGGCAGCTAAAATGATCATCTTTGTCTCTTTGTTTTTGTTTTATGGGATGTGGTCTCACTACATATCTCAGACTAGCCTTGAATTCACACTCCTGCCTCTGTCTCCCAAGTTAACTAATGAGTTCTACCACTCCTAGCCAAAATGATCTTTCAAAAACATAAATCAGATAAGTCATTCCCCTGACCAAACCCAGCAGTGGAGCCCTTAACACCTAGAATGAAATCCAGAGTTCACACCAGAGCCATGCTGTGGCGGAGCTCTCACCTAGGCAGCCTCTGAGGTCTGATCTCCCCCCCACCCCAGCCTCTGCATCCCCTCCAGCTTTACCCAGCAAATACGCAAACCGTTCCTCCTGGACCTCTTTGCATTTGCTATTCCTGAGTCTGACAACTACTTCACTGCATTCCCCCTAAATCCTGGAGCTATGAAGAATTCACAGAAGAGATGAGCTTCTATCCCATCCAGCTGTAAGACGCTGAGGCTGTCAGAACAGCTGAATCAATACAATATCTTTCTAAAGTGGAATTTCTTGAGAAAAGCCCTCTCAAGTGATTTAATCTAAAATAACCACTAATTTCTACATTTAAATTCTAACCTTCCTACCTTAATTTTTGCATAGAAAACACACTTCTCATTATAAATGTGTGTTTGTTTATATGTATGTACGTATTCCTTAGTTCTCCCTGGCTCATTAGCATCATCATAGTAATGTTTATTGGGAAATCAGTGTGCCAATTGCTAGGCTACATGCTTCAGAAGTAGTAACAAGTACCTCACGAATGACAGAACGATTAAAATGTCACCTTCTGGCAAACAAAGAAGTAGAACTGAAAAGTCCTAAGGTAACTAACTTGTAGTGGAACATGCCTAAGTTCAAAAGCGCCCCCATGGTGTGTTCCTCCCGACAATCTGCCATGTGTTTATAACATTCCCTTCGAAAAGGGAGGGGAATAAACATTGTTATTTATTGTATTGCCTGTGCTGATAGAGAAAGGGGGCAGGAGGGAGAGAGAGACAGAGAGAGAGAAAGAGAGAGAGCACGTGCAGGAAGGAGCGCCATGCCAGGAAACGCTGCTGCTGGAAGACCCAAACTAACGTGCTACAAAAGCTGCAGAGGGGTTTCCGTGGCAGTGGCTGCTGCATCAGAAGCAGCCACAGTGAGGAAGGAATAAGGCTTAAGTCCCCAAATCTCCCACAGAAGAAAGCAGCTCCACTGGGAGAAGCTCGCAGCAACTGTGCTGTTTTCTTCAGACACAGCGGAAACAAACCTGAAGAACACGGGTTTTCTGTTGGTGGTTTGTCATCCGTCTGGATTTGGTCCTTTCCACTTCATGTCTATGAACCCAGCCTCGAAGCTCATGGTTCAACCTACAGAACAGATTAATCAAATATATTTAACAGAAGTCAACTGTTTTACTCTTTCGTTGGAAATTAATTTAATCATTCTGTAGGTCCCAAAGAGCCTAACACACCTGACTACACAACAATGCTTTCTGGTTTGAAAAAAAAATGCTGACATTTAATATTGTTTTTAATAAGACATGCATTCTTATAAGGCAACCTCCTCAATCATGAGTTCAAAATTCAAAGAAATAAGAGCAAGTATGTCCAGAACAACACAAACATTACCTTCCTAATTTGAAAATAAACAAATGATGCTGTCTGCTGAGAACATTCTATCCCCAAGTTTACCCTTGCCCTGACTTTAACATCCACTTCATCCTTTAGCTTTCAAATGAGAAACACAAACCAGGCAATCAGCACATTAAATAGACCTATCACCACCTCTGCCGGGCTGGTAGAGCAACCAGACAACCGACAGTCTTACAGTACCCAACAATCATTCAGATTCTCTTGGCCTCTTAGTAAACCTGAAGAAATTGCGTTCCTAAGTTCTGAAGCCACCACAGGAGGCCATGCAGGTGTCTCTGCAGCAACCCACAGCACTCACCTGAGAGATTCTGTTGTATTAATCAGAGGCTGACATGGAGGTGGAGGAATATAAAGCAGTGGTTCTTCAGTTAGCACCATTAAGGCTTTGTCATTTGAAACAGAATGATCATATCTGAAAGAAACACACAGAAAAATTGTTTCTGTGCATCATAAATTTTATAAAGTTTACTAGTACTGATTTGTCATTAAAATAAACATATACCAAACTGAACATACTGTGAGACAGAAATGAACATAATGAAAAAGTAAAGTATAAACCAGATGGTAGAACTATCACTTTCTGAGCTCCTAAGAGATGGCAGAGAAATTCACACATGCTTAGCTACTATTTCCTGGGCAGCGCATAGTCTGTGTCTTTGGCGAATTCAATGAACTATATAGTGTTGCTGGAGTAGAGGAGGTGACACGGTGGCGAGAGGAATGAGGGAAAGAGCTACCAGTAGACAGGAAAATACATTATTGCACGACAAGGCTTAAAGATTGCGGTCATTGCCATTCTGTGATAACAAGTTTGTGTGAAGTGGGGTAGAGTAAGACATAAAACAATTGGCAGGAAAAGTAACAAAGTTGAAATCTGAATAAAACCGTTAGAGTCGTGGATGACTTTGAGTCACTAATAAATACCAGACGACAATAACTAGCTCTTCTGTTAACTTGGAAGGTTTGCTTCTTAACTGTCACACTGCTTTATGTCACATGAATTCATACCAAGGGTGTGATAAGAAACAAAACCTAAGTTAAAAATTAGAATCTGAATGCCGGGCGATGGTGGCGCACGCCTTTAATCTCAGCACTCGGGAGGCAGAGGCAGGTGGATTTCTGTGAGTTCGAGACCAGCCTGGTCTACAGAGCTAGTGCCAGGGCAGGCTCCAAAGCCACAGAGAAACCCTGTCTCAAAAAAACAAAAACAAAACAAAACAAAAAATTAGAATCTGAACTGGGCCCATTACCTATTGATTATTCCCTCAGTCTGTATTTTACTCTGTTTCATTAAGAAGTCTTAGATTTGCTCTGAATATTTTATTTAAGATGTTCTGAGTTTATAAATTAGATATACTAAAATACAAAATTGAACATGGTAAGATTCATGATTTCCATTTATTCATTCAGTATTTGCTGGCTACTGTCTATGTGCTGGGTAATCCAAGAGAGAGCAAGAGAAGTCTACATCCTCAAAGACCTAACAGGAAGACAGATCAAATACAAAACAACAACAAAAACTCCACATACATAAAATTCAGAAAAACTGTGCTAAGTCTTGTAAAAGAAGCATAGGACTCAAATAGCCAAGCACGGCAGCATCTACTTCAGATAAATAGTCTAAGGAAGAGACAGTATTAAGTCAAGGCCTAGATGATAAGATTAAGTCAACTGCACAGACACTAGGAGAAGCAGAAGCGAGACGGAAGTGACAAAAAGTCAGACTCTAGAAACACAGAAAAGTGCTGAAGAGTTGTGGCAACTGGGACAGACACAAGAGGGAAAGACAGAGGCTGGGTCACAATTAGGACTTGATGATTGAAAGAGAAGTCACAAAGTATGGAAGTGGCATATTTCAATTTACCCTTGTATCTTGAAATTGTACAAACAATGAATATTAGTTAAACAAGGGAAGGAACAATGGTCCTCTGTGCACATTAATTTTGAAATACTAAAAGAAAAAGTCACAGAGACGACTGGATGTGTAAACACGTGTATGAGAAGTCTGACCTGGAAAAGGGATTTGAGAAGCAGTCATGTATACAGACATGGAGTCTGTAGCATGATGAGTCACGTCAGCAGAAAGAAAACAAAGTTGACAGCTTTAAAGCTTGGGATTGGACAAAGGAGAAGCCTGCAAAGTAATGAGAATGGAAGGAAGGAAGACGGAGTGAGCAGGCATGATAATATTGTGCATGGGAGGTTGACGTGGGATACCCCGCTGTATGCTGTGAATACGTTTTATTACCACTGGTTAATAAAGAAGCTGATTTGGCCAATAGCCAAGCAAAAAGAGCAGGAGGGAAATCCAAGCAGAGATAGAGAGAAAGAAGGCAGAGTCAAGGGAGAAGCAAGCAGCCGCCAGAGAAGCAAGATGAAAAGTAACAATCCACAGGCCTCATGGCAAAATATAGAATAATAGGAAGGGGTTAATTTAAGTTATAAGATCTAGTTAATAATAAGGCTGAGATAATATGTCAAACAGTTCATAATTAATATAAGTTTCTGTGTGATTACTTAAAACTGGGCAGCTGGGAAATGAAAGCACAGCCTCCAGTCACAGGAGGTGAAAGCAGGAGGCTCACAAGTTCAAAGCCTATGATACAGAGCAAGACTTAGTCTCAATTAACCAGGGGCTGGGAAAAAGCTCAGGGGTATACTGCACTGAATCCCTAACACGACAAAATAAATACAAAAGACTATGCAAACAGAGAGTCCTTTAAAGAGTGATCCATTTAGCCAAATGTTGAAGAAAGTTCAAGATGAGCGAATGACCATTAAATTTGGCCACAGTGAAAACATGCGCCCCACACACACACATAGCAAGTGGAAAACTAATTTCAGAAAAAGAGCAATGATTTCTGAGTATGGCACACAGAGGAAAAGAAGTGAGGGTTGAAGTTACATGAGACATCCCCTCTACTTGTACTTAGAAGGCTCTTCATGTCCTCTCTTCCAGCAATTAAGATTTACAGAGGTAAAGTGTCTGGAGTAAAACAAACACACAGGTACTGACTACACACAGGAAGAGATATCAGTCTAAAGCTGAGGGTCAACAGGGCCTGGTAATGCAACCCCATTCTGAATGCAGTTAGGAAGCCGCTGCTGCAACACGAACAGAGATGCGTGCACACACGCACACGCACACACGCACACACACCTGTCACATATGTCATTGGAAAAATCACACCTTTATACTTAATAAGGACAGGAAGTCTGTAGTCCATAAGGAAAATCCAAAATTGCTTTCAAAACTATATGTTGGCTGTAATTTTCTTTCCATATGATAAACTCTAGTAATGATTTCTGCACATCTGTGCTGGCTAACTTTGTTCTTACAGTCAGAAATATAGAGAAGAAATTTTTGATTAAAAAACAGTCTGATAGGAGAAACACAAGGATAGGGTGGACAGTGTTGAGGGGAAAAGAAGGGGAAACTCTAAGCCAGCATGCAATCTGGAGATAATCAGACCTTCACTAACTAGACAGTCAGAGCTCTAGGCTGCGTGCAAACCATTCTATAAAACAGAAGAAATTTCAGCAAATAAATCACTACAGGAAAGTGCAATGTTAGAGAGCTAGAGTTAATGGGAATTCTTGGGCTAAAGACAACTTGTGGCTGATGCCTTAAATGGAAACCACCCTTTCCTGTTTACTAGAAGACAGCTGTCATTTAAGCCTGATGTCCTACATCTTGAGGTAATAATTATTACTGACTTTCTCTATATTACTAATATTCTTTCTTACAAGTATCCCAGTTTGGCTGATAAATTATATTGCTACAAATACAGACATGCATATATGTACATATACTTTTAACACTGAAAAAAATCTATGCAATTACAACTTGCTAGTGGCAATATGCTAACGGCAAACAAATAGAACATTTAAATGACAGGATTATTTAGCCTTCCTTTATTTGAAACAAAAATGAGGCGTTTAAAAATACAGATTATGGTAAAGGAAAATTGAACAGCCCAATAATAAGGAAGAGGACAGAATTAGTTATAAAAAGTCCCTGCCCCATCCCAAAAGAAAGCTAGAAGGTTTCAGCAAACTGCGCAAGAAGCGCTAAAGTGAGCCAGATGTGGCACACACCTAACACGCCAGCTATCCAAAAGTCGAGACAGGAAGACTGTTAAGTTGAGGCTAGCCTGGCAACTTAATGAGACCTTTTGAAAAAACAAACAAACAAAAAAAAGAACAAAAACCAATGTAAATTTGTCTCAAACTAGTCCAAAGAACTGAAAGAAAGGAAACCCTTCCAAAGTTATTCTATCCTGACATCAAAGTCCCACAAGAACACATTCAAGAAAGGAATTCATAGAACAAAATCCCTGATTATCATAGTTATTAAAATTTTCAACAAAGTACTAGCAACTCAAATCCAAAATATCAAAAAGATTATACATCATGATCAAGTGGTATTTATTATAGAAATTCAAGGATGGCTCAATATACACAAATTAAAAAATATAACACACCATATCAACAGAATTGAAAACAAAAACTTTATGATTGTTTCAAAAGAAGAAGAAAAAGCATTTAGTAAAACTCAACATCCTATCATGAAAAAAAAGAAAAAGAAAAAGAAAAAAAATTGTGTAGAGACCAGCCATATAGTTTTCTGGTTCCTTCTCCCCATCTTTCTGGGACCATTCAGGACCATCCAGGAGTGTTTTACCAATAAGCCTAGATTTTTAATCTTAATTGTGGTTTGGTTTGGTGTGTCAGAAGAGAGACTTAATATTGGGGTACAGAAACCTTTCATTAGGTACGAAAGAACTTACCTCAACACAATAAATTCCCCATATGACAGACCAACATCATACTGAATGAGAACATCATACTGAATGAGAACATCATACTGAACATCATACTGAATGAGAAGAAACTGAAATATACACAAATCCTCTAAACTCAAGAACAAGACAAAGGTTTCTACCTTCACTTATTCAAAATAGTATTGGAAGCCTTAGAGCCAAAAGCAAGATAAAACAAGAAAGAGCCTCAAATGTTTTTTTTTTTTTTTAAAGAAGTCAAACAACCCTTTTTCACAGACAACACGATTTTATAGAGAAAACTCTCGACTCCACAAAAATCAATTAGAACTGACAATCAAGTTCAGTAAGATTGTAGGGTATAAAATTAGCAGCTTTGAGACTAGAGGGTGTGGTCCAGTGGTAGAATGACTGCCTTGCTTGAGTGAGGTCCATGAAGAGGAAGACCGTAGCTACTGTGAAAGAATAAAATAACCTACTCACAGCTGCTAGAACAAATACCTAAGAACAAATTCGGTAAAGGGAATGGATAATCTGCAATGAAATTCATCAGGCACACTAGTGGAGGAATCCATGGAAGGACATCCCATGTTCATGAACTGTATAATTAACATTGTTAAAATACACATACTACCCAAAGTGGTCTAGAGATCCACGTAATTCTTACCAAAATACAAGGTAAGTACTTTACCAAGTGAGCTATCTCTCCAGTCCTCTATCAAAGTACAAACAACATTTGACATAGAAATAAAAACATATTCCTATAATGTGTACAGAACTACTAAAGACTCCAAACAGCTAAAGCAATCAGGTAGAAGCTGATCGGCCTCAGCTATACAGTGAGTTTGAAACCAGCATGGACTATATGAGATTCTATTTTAAAAGAAAAAAAAATCAATGTTATCATAACCAGAATAGCATGAGGGGGAAAAAACATAAACTATTAGAATAGAACATAGAACTCAGAAATAAATTCATATATTCATAGACAACTAAACTTTCCCAAAGGCAGCAAAAACTTATCCGAAGTCTTTTCAATGAACAGTGTCAGGAAAACTGTTGTATGTACGGTAAAAAGAAACTATTCCTCTACAGATCAACACACACATTCTAACTCAAAAAAGAAGAAAAAAGGACATGCTTCAAGATATTGATCTGAGCAAAGATTTTTATGACCCTAAAACACAGACAACAAAAGCAAAATTTAAATGAAATTACATAAAATTAAAAACTTTTGTATAGCAAACAGAGCGAAGAACTTGACTAAGAGAAAATACCAGCATATTACTGATCCAGTAAGGTATGTATGACGAACTCAAGTGACCATAGTGGCTCATGACTGAAGTCTTAACATTCTGAGTTATACAGCAAGTTCCAGGTTAACCTGAGAACTTCTGGGAACAAAACTGAGTCTCAAAACAAAGGAAACAAAAACAAGCTACTCATATAACTCAACAGCAAAGAAACTTAATCTTTTTTTAAATGGATGAATGATCTGAAGTGCTACCTCTGTAGAAGTAGACACACAGACACAGACACACACACACACACTCAACCATCCCCAGTCATGGAAATGCAAATCAACACCACAATGAGATGCCATCTCATGCTAATTAGAACAGCTAGTCTCATAAAACAAACAATGACAAAGTATGAGAAAGGAGACACTCAAACACTGTTGGTGAGAATGAAACAGAGAGCAGCCACTGTGTAAACAGTATACAAGTTCCTCAGAGAACTAGAAACACAACTATTTCAATTCAAAGAATCAAAATTCATGTCAAAAAGATATCTACCCACATGCCCATGTTTATTGCAGTATTAGTCACAATAGCCAAGATATGAAAATTAATCTAAGTGTCCACTGATAGAAGAATAAAGAAAACACAGATACTAAAATAATATTCATAAAACTAAGTGAAATTTTGCCATTTTCACCAATGTGGATAGAATTATAGGACAATGCAACAAGGGAAATAAGGTAGAAAAAATACCATATTTCCTCACTTATATGCGGGAGCTAGAAATCTGCTATCACAGAGTATAAAATATAATCATGTATATCGGAGTCTAAGAAGATAAGGGGGAGAGAGAAAGGAGAGTCGTTAATGGGCGCCAGAGTGTGACTGGATAAGACAGAGCAGTTTAAATGTTCTGCAGCACAGAAGACTAGCTATGGTTGACCATAAAGCCTCAAATATTTTAACATATTTAGCACCAAAGAGTTTGAATGGTCTCAACAAAAGGAAAAAATGAATATCTGTCTCAGATGATGGATGCACTAATTACTCTGGTCCAATCACTATTCCTTATAAACATCAAAATGACAGGCACAGCGCAGTCTATAAAATTGCCTGATTAAAATTCAATGTCAATTAAAATTTTTAAATACTTTTAAAAGATAGGAAACTCATGTAATAGTAGCAGTTTAAAATTAAATTTAATCATTTTTTCAAAAGAAAAATACATATAGGTGTCCTGACAGCACATATAATCATCTAAAATCCAGCTCAGAACAAATTCATACTTGGAATTTTCAAATGTTTCCCAAATAATTTTTAAAATTTTTGTATTCAGGGGCTGGAGAGATGGCTCAGAGGTTAAGAGCATTGCCTGCTCTTCCAAAGGTCCTGAGTTCAATTCCCAGCAACCACATGGTGGCTCACAACCATCTGTAATGGGGTCTGGTGCCCTCTTCTGGCCTGCAGGCATACACACAGATAGACTATTGTATACATAATAAATAAATAAATAAATAAATAAATAAATAAATAATAAATAAATAAATAAATAAATATTTTAAAAAATTGTATTCAATTATCAATGATAATAGCAAAAACTTCAAACTAATGGACTGATATTTGCTTAAATCTCCTATAGTAAGCTTCAGACCTGCAGGTTGCTAAGAAGCGATTATCTCTTCTTACCGAGACCAGTACCTCAGATACACACAACCATTGGTGACTATGGGCAGGAGACACAGAGATGGTTTACATATTTCAAGTACTTTCATGTACTTGTCTCAATGAGTTATAAATTTCTTCAAGGTGATAAATTTCACCCTGAAAGTTGCCTAGGCCTCTCCGGTGAATGTACATGAACTGGCCACTACACTTTCCAGGAGTCAGCATTTTCAGCTCATGCTATTGCGGACACATACATGAAGGCTTCTCTTTATTATGGTTATTTTAGAATAAAGAATATTCCCATAAAGGTTACCTAAACAAAGAATGGCTTCAAGTACAAAATCAATAATTAGTTCTTATTTTTAGCAATTAACCATATTTGATCAAACACTACTAAGTCCAAAGACTATTCAACTTCAAACAGAGTTCTGTGGACAACCAAAGAACTCAAAATTACAGAACATGAAGAATAAACCTGGGCCAATTTTGGAAAAAAAAAAAAACTAATAAACTCTACCAATTTAAGGGACATTGTTACTACTACCAATGTCAGCAATTCAGAAATGTGACAAATTCTAACACGTAAAAAACAAATTAGCATAAACAATATGTAATGCTTTCTAATATCACACCATCTATTCCCTGCTGTGCTGCACTGCCATAGGACCCTCGGCTCCTCCCTCATCCTCAAGGGGAAAGGACACAGAGGAAGGAGTCCTCTGTGGTCCTTGCCTTGTGAAACTGCAGAGAGCTCAGGGCAGCAGGCCTGTGTCATTTTCAAGCACTTCATCATACTGTGACAGCTGCTGCACTGCGACCTCTCTGCCTGCTGCTCAAGACTCTGGCTTTTCTCTAACAAGAATCCCAAAACACACAGGGCAATATTTATGAAAAAGGATATAGCTCTAAAAACTGTACCTTCTTCTAATTAACATACTATGAGAATACGTTTTCATGTACATCTTTGTTTTAACATTAAGCAGAACAGAAATTTACCAAAGTATCTGTTAAATTATAAAAAGGAAAGGAATCAGAAAACACGACAAATAATAATCTTACTTAATGACTACAAATAGGTTCAACCATATCATTCCGTCATATCTATTCATAGGCATAAACATTAGTTAAATGTACTAAACCATAATGGGGTGAAAAAAACTAAAGCTAGTACATGTATTCTAACATATATGTATGTCAATACAAACGGATTATCTGATCGCATCTCAACAAAAATCCTTAACTGGAAAAAGTTTCAAAGTAAATTTATTCTTAAAATTGATTTTAAAAATAAAACAAATTGGAGCTGGAGAGGTGGCTCAGAGGTTTAAAAGCACTGGCTGCTGCTCTTCCAGAGGTCCTGAGTTCAATTCCCAACAACCACATGGTAGCTTCCAACCATCTGTAATGAGATATGTCACCCTCTTCTGGCCTGCAGGCATACATGTACAGGCATACTGTATACATGATAAATAAATCTTTTTTATTTTAAAAAATAAAAATAAAGTAAATTAATGGCATCAGTATTTCACTTGCTCCACTACCCACAGCCTATATGAACTATTTACATGTCAAGTGACAATAGGTAAGATTCTCCAGTTCATAAATCAACATGGCCAACAGGCCACCCCACCTGTAGCTGTTTTTCTGGTTGATAACATCTGATGGGTCTTGAACTTCTTTAGCAGAAAATTCTAAAAGATGCCTCCTTTGGCTTGCAGGGTTCACGCTGGGCTTCACTCTCCTGGAATCCTGCTCCAGCATGCTAAAAACAACGACAACAACAAATGAACCAGTAGCTGAAATTAAAATGGCACACACATAAGCTACGTCTAGCTAGAAAGCAAGCAAGATCTGCCTTGTAGAGTCACATGCGCAGCAAAAAAAAATCAAGGCCTAGAAACAAGTAGAGCACTGATTCCTTAAGTAATCTAGGCCTGGCATCTTGTACATAACCAACAATTTAAAAATAATTTTATAAGTATAAAAGTCTGTATTTATAAACCAATTAAACAAATGCAGTGTTTTACTTGCTTTTAAAACCCTACAACTACATTATATAAATTGCTGTAGTTTATATTCAGAGCTTCTTTCTCAAAGACCTGTATGCTGAAGGCTTGTATCCATCGGGAGGTAGTGGAACCTTTAGGAGGTAGGGCCTGGTGGATGAAGTCAGAACACTGAGTCATGCTTTTGAAGGGGATGCTGGGAACCTAGCCCCTCCTATCCCCTTCTCCCTCACTTTCCAGCAGCTCTGAGGTAAGCAGACTTCCATGACATGTTCCTGATAATATACTGTGTCACTACAAGCTCAAAGCAACTGAGTCAAGAGACCATGTACTAAAACCTCTGAAATCAACAACCAAATAAACCTTTCTGATTTTTAAGTTGATTTATCTCAAGTATTTATTACAGTAACAGAAAGCTAACACATATTAATAGAAACTCAGGTAAGTACATATAAACAAATTTTAAATGCAAATATTTGAAGTAGAAAATGTTTTCAACAGGCAAATCCTTCCAATGAAGGAAGAACTGCTGTTCTCTCCTAGTGCTCAAGGACATCATTGGCCTTGCCACAATGCTAGATGGCAGCTGTGGTGGTTTGAAAGAAAATGGCCCCCGAAGACAGTGGTACTATTAGGAGGTATGGCCTTGTGGAGAAGGTGTGGCCTTGTTGGAAGAAGTGCGTGTCGCTATAGAGGCAAGCTTTGAGGTCTCATATATGCTCAAGTCATACCCAGTAAGACAGACCACTTCCTGCTTGCCTACATAAGATACAGAACTCACAGCTACTTCTCCAGCACCATGTCTGCCTGCATGATGCCATGCTTCCTGCCATGATAATAATGGTCTAAACCTCTAAACTGTAAGCAAGTCACAAGTAAATGTTTTCCTTTATAAGCATTGCTGTGGTCATAGTGTCTTCTCTACAGCAACAGAAACCTTAACCAACACAGCAGGCTATCAAATAAAATTATCTAAAACTATTTATAGTCTATTTTCATTTATAAGTAAAAATTTTTATTTACTTCTTACTTTCAACTCTGCCTCGGGCTTTCACTCATCAGTGTGAAAGGCATAAATGTTTGGGGAAAATAATACCATAAATTAGACACATACACACACACATACATACATACATACACACACATACATACATACACACATACATACATACAAAATAGGCAGACAAACAGACAATATTGTAATAAATATAATACTTTAAACTCATTGATCATGTGCTTAATAAATCTGTCCTATCAATATCATTTTAAATCTGTTTATTTTTATAAAAGCTACACACATAACTTACATTAGTCATGATCCTGATTCAACACAGAGAATTCTCTGGGAATTAATAATAAAAGATTGTATTTTGAGAATAAAGTGGAAGGAGAAGGTAAGACTGATGAAAAGGAGCAGTTAGGGCCCCCTGGTCTAAAAGTAAAAGCCTTTGGGGCTACTGAGGTTCATCTTCAAATAAGCATGAATAGGCGGGAGGAAAACAAGAGGCAGATATATTTCTCTAGAATCCTTTCCTGATTTTTTTATTCTTTTAGTTTCTCAATTCTTTACCACTAGAAATCACTGCCACCTTCAGTTCTCATATGGCATGTTGTTATTCTGACCAACTGCAAACTCTTCAAAGGTACACTGCCAAATTTTGACTATTGTATAAAATTTAATTTTACAAAACTAATACTAAATTGTTATTACAATTGTATATTTCAGGCTGAATGCTTATTTAAGCAGCCATGCAATACTGCAAGCCTTGCTGCCTTGTAGAATGCCTAACGGAGGGCTGGAGTGATGGCTCAGTGGCTAAGAGCACTGACTGCTCTTCCAGTTGTCCTGAGTTCAATTCCCAGCAACCACATGATGGCTCACAACCATCTGTAATGAGACCTGGCACCCCCTTCTGGCATGTGGGCATACATGGAAGGAATGCTGTACACATAGGATGCCTAACTGAACCTGGAGGAAAGGCCTAGTACAATATCCAACTGAACCTGGGGGAGAGGCCTAGTACAATATCTAACTGGAGAGGCCTAGTTCAACGTGTAACTGAAGAGGCCCGGTGCAATGTCAAACTGAACCTGGGGAAGAGACAAGTGAGAAAGCAGGGAAGAAGGGTTAAACAATAAGAGTTTCATGTTTTCTTTTTAGACTTAAAAAACAAACAAACAAAAACCTTTGCCTTTGGTATCGGAAATTATATTTATAACAATATGCTAAGAAAGAAGAGTTAAGAACTTCCCCTTAAGCTGACAAAATCTGTTTGTTTAGCCCCTCAGTTGTGTTCCTTGCTGAACAGAATCCATGCTCTGACCCCTTCAGGGACTCAGAGGGCACCTCCCACTCTAGGGAGTCATGACGTAGTTTCAGAACTGAGCTCTATCATTACACTATACAGTTGATGACAGTTCCCCAAATGACTGATTACCTAATAAGCATGTACTAAATATCTATTATGTTCCAGGGACCTATTCTTTAGTAAATACACAAAGACAAAAAAAAAAGATAAAAAACTAAGTTACTTTCTATAGATGACAGAAGAGTGGTCAGTGTCATACATAACAGGGCTAAGCAGAACACTATGAAATATACAGGCGAGAGCACTGGACTCTACGGAGAGGCTCCTGAAGCAATTCTAAATGGCAAGCAGCAAACAAATGAGCAGGAGCACGAGAGCGAGTAAAGGCATCTCACGCAAACACAACAGTTCTATGAGTGAAGCACACGGGCTCGACAGAGCATTATTTAAGGGTGGGGATGTGGCCATGGGCAGCACAGAGTGGGAAGAGGAGCATCTCAAGAGAGAAGAGAGAGCAATAACACAAGGCTAGGTATGTGTGGCCTTGCCTGCCATGCTTACTAAGTCTAATAATTTATACAGTGAAGCAAAATCACTTTGTCCTTGTGTGAATTTATACTCTTCTGTATATCGGTCATAATCTTTCCAATGGCTGGTGGACTTTCCTGGTCAGGTGGCATCATCAGTCATCTTCATTTTAAGCATTAGTGTTATTTGTTTACTATTTATTATGACTGCCAGAAAAGCACATTATTAGACAATATCCTAGGCTCTGAACTCCGCAAGGAGTCTCCCTAATGTAACTCTCAGACTTTAAACAGAGAAGTCAAAATAGCTGTTCTGCCTTCTAAAAATGACGTAAAACACTTCGTATTCTCCTCTGAATCAGAATGTACCTTCTTCTGGTACAGTGGCTCTCAGACTGAAGCATCTGGACCAGCAGTGTTGGTATCACCTGGTAACTGGTCAGAAAAGTAAATTTTTGTATGAAGAAACTCTGGGGGTGGTTGTCTAAAAGTCGGTGTTTTAACAAGCTGTCCGGATGACTGCCAGTGACTAAGAACCTCTACCCATGCTTTCTACAGCATCTTCCTTGAAGATTCATGCCTTCACTATGGCTCCCTCTGAAGTAGACAGTTCAGAGAAGGACTGGGACAGAAGGACATAGCCAAAAGTGGCAAAATCTGGGGTTTACTGATTTTTTTGTTGATGTGGGAGTGACTTCTTTCTAATCTGTTGCTTTCATTGGTTAATTAATAAAGAAACTGCCTTAGCCCATTTGATAGGCCCACCCTTAGGTGGGTGGAGTAAACAGAACAGAATGCTAAGAAAAAGAAGCTGAGTCAGGGAGTCGCCATGATTCTCCCACTCCAGAAAGACACAGGTTAAGATCCTCCCTGGTAAGCCACCTCGTGGGCTACACAGAATATTAGAAATGGGTTAGAACAATATGTAAGAGCTAGCCAATAAGAGGCTGGAACTAATGGGCCAGGCAGTGTTTAAAAGAATACAGTTTCTGTGTAATTATTTCGGGTAAAGCTAGCCGGGTGGTGGGACACAGCCCACTGCTGCTCCTATTACAACATTTTGTAAACTAGTTCAGTACTGTTAATACTGTAGAGATTTAAAGATTCTCTGATCATCATTCCTCAATCATCTCACCATCTCAGAGCTGGTGTTCTCGCCGTCATTTACAGCTATTTACACGATCCATCTCGTCTATAATAAAACTGTGCAACAACTTTAGCACATTTATTAGAAGACAAGTATGCTATGGATGCAAAAGTGGCCGCTGTTCTCTGCACTGCCAATGCTGGTAATGATTCTGATCCTGTAATACCAATGTACCCCAGCAATTGCCCACAGCTACTTTGAGAATTCTACATTTCCTTGTAAACCAAAGAGCTCAGCTCTCGCACAGTGCACTTCACCACACCTTTATCTAGAGGCAACGTAACACTTTGAGCAGGAAATTACCAAAAATTAGGATTTAAATAAGCTAAGTCTTGAGTTTATTATCCACATATTGGACTGGAAAATAAGTGTATTAAGAAGTTTACTGTCTTCCTTTTCTTTTATTTCCTTTTTTAAATTATTTATTTATTTATTTATTTGCAGGGAGAAAATGCTATTTGGTCTCCAATTCATACATATTTTAATGCTTAATGTGAAATTTCTGAAAAAATACTTGAGCTCTGAAATAACTGGGAGAAACTTAAGCTTAGCTATGAGAATAACTTCACATTTATAGTTTCCTTGTATCTCTTAATATTTAAAAGAATTTCATTCCACTGCCAGATTTCAGGATTGTCTAAGAATAATTGTAATATTACAAATATCAAGAGGAATTTGGCAGCTCTTGAAGTAGCCAAATATACAAAAGGGTATGAGAAAATTATTGTTGATATGAACTTTTAGATTCTTGGCCTGAGTATTTTTGTAATATT